CCTTCCCCCAACCCCTGGTAACCACTATTCTACTTTCTGTCTCTATGACTCTTCTAGGTGCCTCATCTATGTGGAATCATACAATATTTGTCCTTTTACATCTGACTTATCTTATTGAGCATACTGTTTTCAAGGTACATCATGTCACAGCAGATGCCAGAATTTCGTTCCTTTTTAAGGCCGAATAATATCCCACCATATGTACGTACCACGTTTTATCCATCAATCCGTTCATGGATATCTGGGTTGCTTCCATCCTTTGGCTACTGTAAATAGTGCTGTAATGAATATTGGCATACAAGTGTTCGAGCCCCTGCCTTTGATTTGTTCGAGTATATTCTGACAAGTGGAATTGATGAATTATATAGTGATTCTACATTTAATTTTTTGAGGAACCACCATGCTGTTTTCCATAGCGGCTGCAGCATTTTAAATTCCCACCAGCAATGCCGTATGGTCTTGAAGTAGGAGTTAAAAGGGTGTGAGATGAACTCCCAGAGTCTCTGGCACCCTCCTTTAGAGACTTTCCCCAAAGCAATGGAAGAAGAGTGGTGACAAACTGCGACAAGCCCAGAGGAGGTACTTAAAGCAGGGAAGGGACTGAAGCTACACACTGAGGAGAAAGGGTGGAAGGGTCCAGAGTATGGGGTCTGGTAAGGAGGCTTTAAGGCTGATGGCTGCTGCGTGTGTCCACCATCCTTCCTGGGGGCAAAGTGGGCAGCCCCAGGGTCACGTTGAGTCCAGCCAGAGTGTTCCAAGGAGACTATATCCATCACAACATGAGGCAGACCTTCAGAGAGTCAGAGCTTTCCAGCAATGTGAGTAGGGAGCTCTCCGTCACTGGAGGTGTGCGACGAGTGACCGACGTCCTCTTGAACAGGAGGCTATAGGGCATTGGAGGTCCGACTAGATAACCTCTGTGGTCCCATAGAGCAGTGTGTTCTTAAAGTTTGGGATTCAAAGATCCTGTGACTGGATTCTATTTAAGCTCATTTATAGGCAAAAACTCTAATTTACTATTCCCGTCCATTTAGGTGAATTCTACCCTGGCTTCTCTGAGATCCTGTGTTGGTATTGGCATGGACACTGCTCTGCCCCAGCAGGGGTGAGCTTCACTTCTATTTGCCGATGAGGATGTTACATGATGCCCTAAGTTCTTATGGCTATTGTCTATGTTTTCAATTAGAAATAATACTTTGTGTGTGCAAAGCGAGGCTGCAGGGAATGACTTTGGAAATAGTGCAAAGGTGAATGAAGAAAAAGGGGTTTCCTCTCTGGCCTGCAAGGGCCTCCAGAGTCTGCCCCACTTGTTGCCCCCAAGCATCCCCTCCCCAGCCTCTTGCTTTGGCACAGAGCTAACCTTGTCTCCTTCTCTGCTCAGCACTCAGGCTCCCTGTTCCAGCTTTTCTCCCTCTTACACTCTCTGTCTTTTCAACCACTCAGCATATGCTGCTGGCCAAGCCCACTTTCTGGGAAACCATCTCTGATTCTCTCACTACCTGCACAAATCTTGCCATCTTTTTATGGCTCATCCAGGTTTCTCTTCCTATAGGAAGCCCACAGAGATCTTCTTTCATAATGCTTTGTATGCTAGGGTACCACTTAAGGCACTCATTCATAGATGTTTATTTATTAACCAAGACCAGTAGGCCTTGGTCTCTTGCATACACTGGGGATATATCACTAAAGATTGGTGACATTTCTGCTATCATTGAGTTTACATTGCGGGAAGAGACATGGAAAATTAACACAGGAACAAATAAATACATAAAATCACTTGATAGTGGGATGATTGCTGCAAAGACAATAAAATTGGGGGTACGATAGAGGCTACTTTAGGTCCAATGGTCAGAGGAGACCTCTCCAAGAAGTGCTATTTAAGCCAAGACTGGAATTATGAAAAGTGCCAGCCTAGAGAGGATCTGGGGTGGGGGGCCGTTTGGGGGTGGAGGGAGCTTTCCAGGAACAGAGGAAGGTAAAGGTCCCTGAATAACTTTGGTTTGTTCAAGGAACAAGAAGGTTGCCACTGTGGCCGGAACGCGGAAAACAAGGCGGAAAGTGGATGATGTGACAATAGAATGGCAAGGAGATGATGAAACCATGGTAAGGCCTGCAATGGGAAGCCGTTTGAGGAAATAGGGTCTGATTCATGATGTACAAAAACTCACCCTGACTGTTGCATAGAGAATGGCTTGTAATGGGATAAGATGTGAAGCAGGGAGAACAGCTAGGAACCTACTGGAGTAGACCAGGCAAGAGATGTTGGTGGCTTGGACTTGGGAGATAGCAGTGCAGATGGTGAAGTTAGGTTTGAGATATTTTTTGTAGGTACAATTGCCTGGGGAGTGGGAGAAGGAAGACCTAACAGAGAAGATGGCGCTTCTCTGGGTTGTTGGATTGTGGAGAAGGATGAGGACTCCTCCAGAGAGAGGAAGAGAAAAGAACATTCCAGGCAGTTTTTTAAAAAGACTCAGAGGCAAAAACATGAATGGTGTTTTCAGTATGATGGCCGTGAATGGCATGTACCAACAATCTTCAGAGATAACAAGTGAGAGGTCAGACAGATAAGTACATAAAGGTCTTGAGCATCACGGGAAGGGCTTAGTCTCTATTTCTTGTAGGTAATAAGGAGACACTGAAGGCATTAGCACATTAAAGTTGCTCCATATATTAGTTATATAAGGACCACCCACCTGTAGGAGCCCCAGTACCAAGCTGTGGAAAATACTTTCACAGGTATTTCATGGGACCCTGTTGAAACACCTTGATATTTAGCAACTATAAATTTTCCTCTCCCCACGCCAAAGGCAACTTGGTGCCCAGGTCGAGTTCTGTTCTAGGAGGTAGTCTATCTGAGTTCTCTGGGCATCTAGATACCCAGAAGACAGAGCCAAGTGGCCAGAGGTTGGTAGACAAGCATCGGCTAAGGGTCCTAACCTGCCTTCACTGACCTTATACACCTCACCAGGCATGCCCAGCCTTATCTGCAGATAGGATAGGCCCAATCCCACATACCTGTTGTATTTTTACCAGCCAATACAAAGACGAGCTTCTGGACACAATTCCTCATGGACAACTACCACTCACTTTTCCAAGACTTTAGATATTGAGTGTTCACTCGAGCCATGGCTTCATCTCCAAGATGCTATTTGACTCTAGGCAGCCACCTTGCACTGGGCCTCAGTTTCCCTGTCCAGAAAGTGAAAAGGTTGGACTTAGTGACCTAAGGTGTTTTCCAGCTCTGGAACCCTCCAACCTGTTTACTTAGCTCCCTTTCTGCTCAAAAACCATTTGCTTGTCTGCTCTTCATGTAGGGGAACAAAGCCACAGTGTGTGAATGGAGCCCGTTCCATGATCGGTCTCAGTGCCCTGAGGCCCAGAGGCCCAGTTGGATTCCACTGAAGGGAAAAGCAGACTCCTGCAAGGGTCAACTGTGCCCCGTGCTTTCTGGAAAGTGCTTACAAAGCCTGAATTCCCAGCCCACACACTGGAGCAAGCTGTCCTCCCTTTGAAACCTAAGAAAGTTGCAGGAACAGCCATTTACCTGTCACATGGTTTTTACAATTTCCCTGGCACCTTCACTAATCATTGAAGCAAGTTTCAGTGGGTGGAGGAACAAGCCCCAGGTCTGACACAAATGTGCTGGAGGAAGAGAATTGTAGCCGAGATCATATAGGGTCCCTCCTGAGGGTGTCCAGCCACAGGGGTCTGCTCGTG